ACTAATACAGACTCAGGAAACCATGCTGCTGGGTCCATTGACTCTATTCAAACCGAGATTTTTGGATGTAGAAATGCCAACGACCCCAATCGCGTTTCAGACCATCTCCTGCACTGGCAAAGCGTGCTTGCAACTTTGAGGGCTGCCGGGGAGCCTTCTTTTAAGCACGACCTATAGGATCTTTTCCAATTGAACGGTTCGAAATAGAACTTTCGTCTGGACTGTGGGGATGGGAAGAACATCATGTGGATGGTGCAGGCAATGAGGGATAAAAGGATGGGTTTTCTATTCTGTTTCTTTTATGTCTTATATTTTATTTTATTTTTATTAATCCGAGTTATACCCATCATCACTGCCATTGTACTCTACTGGCTCACAACCCTGTGCAATAAACCATCATCGTCCTCTTCGTCATCATTTAGGCTGGGAGATGGTTCTCTCCTTGAGGTTTCTTTGATAACTTGATTCCTCGAACGGTTGGACTTGGCTTTGGGGGGTCTTCGTGCGTTCTTAGTGACCTCGGGAAATCCTATATTTGCATATTAAACTACATTCACTTCCTGCTATAGAATTGGTAAAAGATACTGTTAGGACGGTAATATTTCTTGAACACGTCTATATCGTACGTTATACTCTCTGAATACAAATGCTGAGTTCCCTAGTATGCTCTCAGTACAAAGCGCACCAAGGGCGCGATCAACAAGAAAAAACACTTCAATCGGGGTATTACTGTAAAAGGGCACGTATTGTAGTTACCCAGACAACGAGGGCATGACATGATGAGATGGGAAATTGTACAAGGTTTAACCCCAAGTTCCTCCACCACCTCCTCTACCTTGACGTCTCTGTGCAGACAGACGCCAATCATCCTCGCCCGCAAAGCGATTGTGTAAGGGTTGGATACGCTCAGCCTTCTTACGCTTCGACAAGCGGTCAGTAGGAGCGACCTTGAAGAAAGTTGGAGCTGCCTCGACCAGCCATTTGGGCTCAATAGCTGTAGTGCAATGCATGTATTCCTTCGTCGTGAGGACCAATGTGTGATAAATGACGTGTTCAGCCGGCTTGCCAAACAACGCAGAACTGGGGTGCATATAGACGGGTGTACCCTCAACAAGTGTTTTGTATCCTTCCTGGGGGTCCTTGCGCGCTGCATTTCTAAAGAACCCGGTGCATAGTGCTTGACGTACTTTGGTAGTGTTCCGTCCGCATGAGACGATGCGGTGATGGTACCGGTCCATGATGCCAAGAAGCTGCTGGCGCACATCTTGAGCACGGCGGATCTGACGCGCCTGGATGAAGTTCTCGAAACACCAAGCATTGTTGAACTTTGAATTTTTCCAGCCGTTGTACACATTGAGAAGGGTCAAGTGGTCGCCTTGTGGATCGTGGAACTTGGCTTTCTTTTGATCTGCCTGTTGCTGCTTTTCTTTAGGTCTATAAAAGACCGACTGGATAGAGAGCATAGCAACGATGCTAAGAATTTCCTCAGAACATCCCATGTCGACTGACGCAATGAGGACCTTGGCAAGTGCTGGTTCCATGGGGAAGTCTGCCATCTTCCTACCCAAACGAGTCAAAAGGCCTTCATCATCGAGTGCAGACAAAGCATAGAGCTCCTCTAGTGCAGTAAGCATGGTGTTTGTCGGAGGAGGGTCCATGAAGTCGAAATGAAGCAAATCATTGATGCCCATAGCTTTAAGCATGAGAATAGTATGTGAGAGATTCTGACGCTGGATCTCGGGAATTGTGGTTGGCAACATTTCCGATTGGTAGGCTGCTTCAGTATACAAACGGAAACATTTTCCTGGGCCTGTTCTTCCAGCACGACCGGCTCGTTGCTTGGCCTGCGCTTGCGAGATAGGAGTGACCACCAAGGAGTCCATACCAAGTTTCGGATCGTAAGCATTTTGCTTCACGAAGCCAGGGTCAATGACATAGTAGATGTTGTCAATAGTAATGGATGTTTCGGCAATATTGGTTGCAATGATAACCTTCCTACCTCCTGGTGGTGCAGGTTCAAAAATCCTACTCTGCATCTCACTAGGAAGAGCAGAGTAGACAGGAAGGATGACAAGCTCTGGTACGGAAGGACCCAACGCTTTCATTCGCTCGTACAAAATCTCACAGGAGGTATCGATTTCTTCTTGTCCCGTCAGGAAAACAAGAATATCACCAGAAGGCTCCGTTAAGTGAATCTGCATGACAGTGATTAAAGCCGCATCCAAATAGTCAGACTCGGGCTCCTTTGAATACATAATCTCGACTGGGAATGTACGCCCAGGAATCGAGAAAATAGGGCAACCGTTGAAATATTCGGAGAACTTCTCTGCATCTAACGTCGCCGACGTAACAATAAGTCGAAGGTCAGGCCTTCGCTTTATTGTCTTTTTTAACAATCCAAAAAGGACGTCTGTAGCAATTGTCCGCTCGTGGGCCTCATCAAGCATGATGACAGAGTACTTCTTCAAATCTGGGTCTAAGAGGACTTCTCTTTGAAGCATTCCGTCAGTCATGTATTTAATTCGTGTCTCAGGGCTGGTGCAGTCTTCAAAACGAATCGTGTATCCAACCTCTGCACCGAGCTTGCACCCAACTTCTTCAGCTACACGTTTGGCGACTGACATTGCGGCCACACGTCTCGGTTGGGTACATCCGATAATGCCATTATTTCCATAACCAGCCTCAGCCAAGTATTGTGTCAACTGTGTGGTCTTTCCGGACCCAGTATCTCCAACAACAATCATCAATTGGTTGTCACGAACAGCATCAAGAAGTTGCTTCCGGAACTTGTAAACCGGCAGACTTTCGCGTTGTTGCTTAATGGACATCGATGTTCGCTTGCCGAGTGACTGATTTTTGCCCATTGTAACTCTTTTCCACTCAGGCACAGCGTCATCGGGTTTAGGTTGCTGAGCCGTTCGAAGATCAGCCGCAAATTTCCGGTCTTCTGGTGCAGCCATAGGATCTTGCCATTGTGCGTTAAGATCAACTTCCGCAGCTTGTTCCGCAGCCTTATCCTGGGCCTCTTGTTGACGAAGATCTCTTCGTTCTTTAGCCAGGTTCGTACCCGCCATAGCTGCTCGGTTCATAGAGCCATCGGGCGCCTTGACAACTCTGATAGGAGATAATTCCAGGGACATCTTAGTTTGACCAGCTAAAAAGGGCGGCTCTTCATCTCGGACTTCGATATCAATATCTTCCTCCTCCTCAAAGGTGCCCTCGCCTGTCAGTGTTGCATGGTATTCCTCGTCGAGATCGGGGTAGTCAGCCGCTGACACAACACCGGATGCGATCAGCTGTCTAATTTCCCACCTCTCTGGTGAAGTTAAGCGCTTTCGGTTTTTCATGGGCTTCCCATCAGAATCCTCGATGACAGGCACTTCCGAGCTCAAGTTGCCATATCGCTCATTCGCTGAAGTCCCGTCGAGGCGTTCCATGTTGGCGCCAGACGCCAATCGGCGTTGAGGAATAAGATCAAGCCCAGTCACTTGGTCGACTTCCTTCATCGAGAGCCCAATGCGAGACCCTTGTATACTGATGACCTTGACTTTGACTGGCTGACCTCTGGAGACCAAATCCGAAGGATGATTTACTCGCGCTCCTTCTTGCATCGCAGAAACGTGTACCAGGCCATCCACCTTGCCTTTGACACCCAAGAGATTCACGAAGGCTCCAAAATCCTTCACACCAGTGACACGTCCGTCGTAGACCTTGTACAGTACCGGGGCATCATCCAACTCAACTGGGGGTGGTTTTCGAAAATGGTCGTCCTGACTCCGATCATGCCGCCGCCGTCGCTCGCTGTGACCGTCGCGGTTTTCATCCCGGCTGGAATACTTGCTTCGCGTACGGCCGAATTCGTCGACGTCGTCATCTCTCTTACGGCGACGGGGGCTATACGATCTCGACCGGGAACGATATTTATCCTTGCGCCGACGTCCACGATCGTAGTCATCGTAACCAGGGCTTCTGCTTCGTTTTCTGCTACTCCGGTCCTCCCCTGTTGCGTGGCCCTTCTCCTCTCGGGCCTTTCCTGCTAGTCCTTCAAGCATCGCAAATGTATCGTCCATTACATCGGCCTTGGCATCTCCTTCGTCTGCAATTTTCCTATCCGTGTAGTTGTCCTCATCCCACTGCGGTGCCTTGTCCGGAACAGCTAGACCTTTGAATACGCGCGCCTTCTTTTCGAGTGCATCGAGGACGTCCATATCATCACCCCCTTCCGCTTTGTCGGCATCATCCGTCTTCTTCGTCTTGTATTTCGGGTGCATGGTGAGCACGAGACGATCAATACTTTCCATCAAACTCTGAGGGAACTCCGCGCCCATCTCGTCTAGGGTCTCCTTGAATTTCGAAAACGAACTGCATTTCAGATGCTGGTCAATCACGAACTCCGCTAATGTCTTGTCATTTATCCCCAAGTGGTTCTGGAGTTCGCTCGTAATTCGCGAAACGAGCGAAAAGAGCTCCAGACTCTGGAGGTCATCCATGACTGGCGCTTCAAAAGTGACCGCAAGTCAACGAACAATCAAAACCAATCAAATGAATTCTTGGATATGTGAGTTATTCGCAGAAGAGTGTGCTACGCACCTCTCTGGTCAGTAGGTTGCGTTTCGCCAATCTTTGAATGCTTGAATCGGGAAAGCTCACTGTCGCGGAAAATCGTTCTGGCGTATTGCGGACCACTCGCCACTGATAAGATAAGCCAACCTCAAATGTATTCACTAGTACGGAGTATTTAATGGAATCCATTCATATATTTTTACTTTTACAATACAAGAATATTATTAAAGGTTCTGGATTACCTGGTTCACTTTATTGGTTCAAAGTAACAGTAAATACAAGTCAAACTACTTGGATATTTGAGGAGGTTATTGTATGAAGCGAGGTTGGGCAACATATGAAGCTATAGTATTTGCTAGAATTGCATGAGATACACCACTATTCGGAAATGTCTGGAAGAGATGCCTTGTGTCTGCAAATTGAATTAGATTTAAAGCTGATCATGTCAGGCAGCAAAAACTGAATGGCACCCTGAATCGGCCTGAGCTAGATCTATATACTGATATAATGTACACTTAGTTTACATTTGTATGTTACACTAACCCCTAATTCCAATCATCCAAACAAGGGAAGTCTTCAACTATTATTCGCCCCCCTAAGAATTTTGAATGCCAACCTTCAACCAGATAAAAAAAAAAAAAGTTTGGCTTGTATCGTTCTCGCTACCATCGCGATGACTAGGACTGAGAGAGTAGAGAAGCTGCTGGAATGCTTCGTTACAATAAGATCCGCAGTAGATATATCGGCAAGGCATGAGATCCTACGCAGCCTGTGCCTCCGGACTGACCCTTTCTAGAGAGTCGTTGTCGGCTGAGAGATCAATAGGGACCGTTTCCTCGCTCTCTTCTTCGAGAGCGTCAAGGTCGGCTTCAGCAAGTAATCGTTTATGGTCCTGAATCTGTTTCTGTAAAGCGATCTGGCGGCGAAGTGAGGCGTCCTTTCTCAGCTTCTTATTAGCAGAGAACTCAGTCAGTGCCCTAACCATTCTCTCTTCGACTAGCTCCTTCACGTGGGCGGCAAGAGTTCGGTCAGTAAAGACTCCACCAAATCGAAAACTGAGCCACGAGTACAATATCACAGACTTGTGCAATATCTCCAAGTCATGCAAATATTCCTTGTTTCCAGACACAGGCTCTTCTAGAATCTCCAAATTTAAGTCCGGTATGTCCAGCAAGCGACCACCTGTGTGCTCGGCGACACATTGCGCAAATGCACAGGCAACATCGCGCGAGGAGATGTCCCGGGTATGCATGGGCGCAGCCATAAAGGTCATTTGGTCTTCAAATCGCAAGCCGCTCACAGTGTCTATAACCTCGGCGTTATCCAATTGACCCCGAGGGTCACACATGAAGAACAAAGGATGTACTTGGGAAACATCAATAAGACGCTTAATGATATATTCCAACGGAATGCTCTGAGGGAAGTATGCGGCAAACCTCTGGAAAATAGGCTCTGGAGGGAACACGCCGGCCGCAGTGATTGGAGGGGGCTCGATCCCCATGGCCTGGTGAATGTAGGGAAGATCCACCTCTTCTAGGGATGTTACATAACCGACATTTGTGCCGTCATTCTCGGCAGGCTTTCCGTTTTTCTGTTGTTGAGCAGCCGACCGGTAACGGCCAGCGCGTCCTGCGATTTGTTTAATTTCAGGTACGGAGAGCCTCACAAGACCACCTGGCACCCTCTTCACGAGTGTTTCGAAAATGATACGTTTGCAACTCCTGTAGAAAGGTTGATTAGGATATATGGTGCGACATTATAGCGACAGCAGACTCACAAATTTAGACCCATACCAATGGCATCACTAGCGACCAGATAGTCGTATTCGTTATTTGGGTCATTGAAAAGACTGGCTTGCTGAGTCCGAATTTCAGCTGGTAAGCTTCCATATACAATTGCCGCCCGTTTCCCAGTGACCTTTTCAATATCTGCTTTAAGCGCGTGAATTCCGACGCGAGAAAAGGCGACCAGGCAATCTCCCTTTTGCAGGTTCTTTAGGTCGCCCCTTAGACTTCGGTCCATAACCTTCAGAGGGTTTAGTCGTTCATATCGGTGAATTTCAAGCTTATCTCCCGTAAGGGCTGCCAGCTCTCGTATCAGCGGTACAACCCTTGGCTCACCACAGAGATGAAGTTCCTTAGCACGCGCCCCAAGTACAGCACGAGTCCAGGCCCATCCGCGTTTGGGGTCCCCAATCATTTGAATTTCATCAATGACCCCTACATCATACGGTTGCCCTAGATTAACCATCTCAACTGTATTGCTCACAATAGTCGGCGCCTGGCCCTCAGGGATTTTGACATCATCACCAGTGACAAGACTGCAGGTAGTTCCGTTGGCCTGAAATCGATGGTATACCTCCTGCGCAAGTAGTCTTAGTGGCCCAGCATAGAAGCCACTTTTACTAGCCTCGAGCTTTTTTAATGCCTGATACGTTTTCCCCGAGTTCGTTGGCCCAACATGTAGATGTATTGTTCGCTGTATAGATCGCGCTTGCGGATACCACTCTGCTGGAAAACGCATATCCGCCACTTTCTTCTGCTGTTCTAAGTTGGGGGTTGAGTATTTCGAAGTGACATCCTCAGCGTATAGGAGATACTCCAACTCATTCTTTAAGCCCCGAACGCCAGATTGAATGTACGTCTTTTGTAATGTGGTCTTCACCTGCCGTAGAGTGCCGAACCCCCCACTAGTTGCTCGGTCCTCTAATTTGCATGCATTCATTACATATCGTTCAAATCTCTGCCATCCAGCTAACGCTGACTCAGAGCTCTGTGCTAATTCTTTCTTGAGCTCCTTCAGCAGAGTCCCCACGATGATTGAGAAGTCCGGTGCGGTGACATTCTGCCTTGAATTCTTTGTAGCGGAACGGAGGGAAGGTCTAGCCGGAGACTATTCAGGAACACAAACTATTATTAGAGGGGTCATCAAAAAAGGAGCCAAAGGGGCAAATACATTGTCAGGCTTAGTCTGTGTGGCCTGTTGTGACTTCTTTGACTTTTGCAACCGTTTCGACCTCTGAAGTGCTGGTGTGGTGGAAAATGTTCGTATTCCCAAACGAAAAAGAGGTTGTATAGCGCATGACAGGCAATGGCTGCCTCTACTCGCCCATGACTGCATTCCTTAAGCGAGAAGGCAGGTTTCAAACGGCGAGCGCGTTCGAAAGGCGTCGGGGACGATTCGCGGCCGAAAGACTTAAGCTGTAGCAGATTTTGTAACGCGGAAAAGCTGCATATAATGGTGCATGGAGCTAGCAGGGGAACCTGCGACCAAACCCTTGCAATGCATTTAACGACCGAGGACAAGTTGAGTTGAAAAATTCAAAGTATCATTTTTGCAGGAGTACCAATGACATCGGCAAATTGACCGTATCCAACCAAATAAAAGACTATCTTCCTGTTTTAGTATGTAGCCATTGCCGCCTTAGTCATGGTCGCCCTTGATAAAACTTGGCACCCTACTATCGTTATTAAAGCAGCAGGGAGCAATATCCCGATAAGGGAAGGCTGAAAGCGTGCCGGCGCCACACCGCATGAATGCTGCCGATCCGCCGCAATCTATGATGGATTGAATGGTGGGGACAGTTGGGAGAGGGTCTCTAGTAACAGATACGTTTCATAAAGAAAGAACTCACTTCCATTCCCAACCCCTCCACCCCCTGATTGGACCCTCTAAAGTGTCGCCTGCCTTTCCTCATTATTCTCCCTATACCAGTCGCTTTCAGGCTGAAGTCTTATTGTTTTCAAGTCTGCGACATCAAACCTAACCTACAGCTAGAGGGCTGCCGGCCGGCCAAGATGAACTCCTCCATACTCAATATTCAACGCGAAAGTGAGTCCTTCTGTAGTTGATGTATTCAGCTAAACCACTCGTTCATTGTACATACTAACCTTCCACATAGTCATTCTCAATACAATCCGGTATACGGCAGGGAATGAGGTGTGCTAAGACCCCTCCTCCTTGTGGACGCGGAACTAATGGTGGTGACGTGCAGTGGAAAGTCCTGGTTGTGGACGAGACCAGCCGGAAATTAATCGATAATGCTGTGAGCGAGGATGATATTCTCAACCTCAATGTTACCAGTAAGCCGGGTATTTCGATCGATAATGAATCACATCGGCTAAATGATCATTCTTTCAAGATGTCGAGCAGATCGAGGAAAAGCGGAAGTCCAACCCTATGGATGCGCTGTATATCCTATCGCCCCAGTCACATATTGTCGATTGCCTAATGGCCGACTTTGAGCGAAAGCGATACAAGAAGGCCTGGTTGGTTTGGACGTCATGTCGGTCACATCTCCTTTTCTGCGCCCGCGAGTCGAGTCCTAACTTCGTCTACAGACCTCGACCCCCAACAGCGCACTAGACTCGAACGATCTCAAATGGCCCAAGAACAAATTGCTAGCTTCCGAGTTATGAGCGCCGACTACTTCCCGAGGGAATCGCGTCTTGTCACCTTTCGAGATCCGTGGAGTTTCCCCGTGTTGTTCCACCCCGGCTGCAACCACTTGATTCGCGAGCATCTGGAGGGACTGGCACAGAAAGTACGGTACTTCTGTTCTTGGATGTAGTGTCATAGGAGTCGACCACTGACCAGGGATCTAGATTGTATCTCTTTGTGTGAGCTTAGGAGAGTACCCCGTGATCCGATACTATAAGCCTAGAACGCCAACGCACGAAGCTAGTGTTATGTGCTCGCACCTTGCCCGATTCATTCAAAATGAGCTAGATCAGTTTGCCCAGTTTCAAAAGGACTTCCCGCCCCCGTCCCAGAGACCGCGAGGCGTCCTTATGGTGGTGGATCGCTCTATGGACGTTGTTGCGCCACTTATCCACGAATTTACGTACCAATCTATGGTGCATGACTTGCTACCGATAAAAGATGGGGACAAAGTCACTTACAAAACAATTATAAACGAAGGTAGCCATAATGAAGAACTTAAGGAGATGGAAATCTCCGAAAACGATACCGTCTGGGTTGACTACAGACATCTTCACATGAAAGATGTGCTTGGAAAATTGGGTGAAGACTTTGCCAAATTCAGAGCAGCCAATCCTCAGTTTGCTGAAGAGTGAGTCCTCGCTGCCCTAAGATCTCATAGCCGTGGATTTCTTTTCTTTCCCTTTTTTTTTTTTTTTTTTTTTTTTTTTTTTTTTTTT